TCTGAAGAACAGTCATACCAGACTCAAAAAGTTAACTGTTTCTCTCTCCACAGATCCTTCCAGACCTGCTGAGTTTCTCCAACACTCTTTGTGTTTACTCCAAACTGCTTATTTGGAAGAAGATAGAACAGGTCTTTCTCTCAAAAGCCAGGCTGGTTTGCCTCACAACCTTTTCAGCAAGCATGCTCTATACCGCACAAAATGAAATATCAATGAGCATTAATTCTGTTTCTGAACCACAGATCTGCCAATCTCCAGATTTCTAGCAGGGCCTGTTATCATTAAGTATGAGATTCTGTTGCTCAGTCTCCATTGTTCTAATTCCCCTACACCCACTCTTTAACAAATTCTGCACACGCCTCGATGTTGAACTCTTTCCCTCTGCCTCCGCGCCCATTTCTTTGAACCGCAGCCCAACACGCCCTCTGCAGACCCCTTCTCCCATCTCCAACAAACCCCATCCTCCTGGGCACCACCCGCCAGCCTCCTACCCTCCCTCGACCTCTTCGTCTCCAACTGCTGTTGTGACATCAATCGCTTTTGGAAGCAAGGGAAGAAAGAGCTCGGGCATTAGCAGATATCTTCATATGTCTTTTAAGAAGCAAGAGACATAGAGACAAATAAGGACAGATGCAAAATAAAACACGGATGTTATAGGCAGAAGGAAAGTCTGGGAAGTCCGTTCAATGGCCCCTGTCCACAGGATTCACTGATATGAGTCCCTTGGCTTGTCAGAACTTGCTGCTCTTTGATCATCCTCTACATTCTTTCACTTGTCTCCAGGCGGCACAGAACAATTGGTTCTGACTTATAAATGTCTCTGATTAATTCATTGAAAGCCACAACTTACAGCAACTGTCAGAGGGAAATAAATCAGCTTTCTTCAGCTTTGAGGTGATTTTTTTTACTGCAGAGAAAAGGACAGCTACTTTCTCATCAGAAGTCCAATGGCTTTTGACTAACCATTACACACACAAGCTTTTCAGCTACCTGGGAACCAATCATATTGCTGTTGACAGGTAGAAGGCATTTGTTGCCAACAATTGTTCATCGCTCCACAGACCAATCAGCTACATATTGCCAACAGAATCTCAGTTTGTACACAGCCCCTGGCTCCAGTTTTATCCGTAGTAACTGCCCCATTGCTTGAACACACATTACACATACCATGAGTGCGAGATAACTTGCTTTTTAAAAGTGCAGTAATACTTTAAACAATGCTTAGTTTTTAAGATCATTCTTTTCCCATTTCAGTCCACATTTAAAAATGCATATTATTAATATTATTAAATCTTAGCATTTCTCGACCCTTTAACTTACGCCAACATTTTACACTCAGGACAATGAATCTAACCCTGACCGCTATATTCCAGTTTCCAGCAATGTCAATTACATATTTAAATGGTTGAAACAAGACTCTATTCAATTTGAAAGTGTCATTGAAGGCCCGTGGATTATGGTCAGTGTAAATAAGTGTTTTCTTGTTACTATGTCAGACATAGACTTCAAAGTGTTGAAGAGCCAATAACAATCCCAAAATCACATTTTTCCATAGAGATGCCCTGCATTTGAGATGACTGACATCCAACAAACACAATCATCTTCCTTTGTGCCAGATATGACTCCAACCAGGAGAGGGTTTTCCCCTGGATTCCCATTGATTCTAGTTTTGCTAGGGCTCCTTGATGCCTCACTTGGTCAAGTGCTGCCTTGATGTCAAGAGCTGTCACTCTCACCTCATTCTCCAGAATTCAGCTCTTTTGTCCACATTTGAACCAAGGCTGTAATGATGTCAGGAGCTGGGTGACCCTGGCAGAACGCAAACTCAGCATCAGTGAACAGGTTGTTTCTAAGCAGGTCCTACTTGATAGCCTTAAATCAATTTAAATAGATGATAAACCTAGTAGATTCATTCGGGAAATCTTTGGTAGCGAATAGTACGGACACAAATTTTTTGTCCCAATCTTGTGTTTATTCATGATAGTATGATTTAATCATGATTTGGAGAGTCAGATGGTATCTGTCCAAAGCTCCCTGTGTTTGTAGATGAAATGCAGTTGACTTCACCTGTGTTTTAGTGAAACGCTGAAGATTTCTTGACAAAGTTAGAACCCTGATCAGATTGTGTCTCAATTGGTACTCCATATGAGTAAAAAAATTGATTGAACTTTACTATTACTACTCTAGCTGTGGTTTTCCTTAAAGGAATAGTTTCTGGGAATTGGGTTGTCATATCCATCATTGTAAGGACATATTGGTGACCTACTTTCATTTTCCATATTGGTTCTGTGGAGCCTACTAACATTCAACTGAATGGTTCTTGAAAGACTGGTATGATTATTAAAAGTGCTGGTTTGATCACATGTTGAGGTTTTCATAACACTTAACACATATGACATGGTTTACACAACAGCACTATGACTTTCTGAAGTCTTGACCAAATAAAGTACCTACTTATCAATGCTTGGATTTTCTGAATTCCTTTTCATGTGCTACTCACAATAACTCCTTAAGCTATCTGAGCAGCGGCATTATTTGATGAACAGCCATCCGTTCTTCATCCACAGGTCAGTGAGGGTATCTCTGCTTCCTCATCAGAACTCAGTTTTAAATACAATAATAGTCTGGAACTCCTTCAGCCTCTGCTTCAGTTTATGCAGTGTATGCTAACTTACTTAACTGTGGAACTGGTTCCTGAGACTCAAGTAATGCTGACTTCTTTTAAACTATGCTCATTCTTAAATAGAGTATTAGTTACTCTAATATTTGCTTGAGGTGGCTCCTTGACTACCACTAGTCCCAATCACAAATCACACTCCAATTTGACTTTGTACAATGGAACTAGGACATACTCTCCATCTCTCCAATTCACCAAAATTTTGGCTTTGCAGAAGGTTTGTTTGCAACTGCAGCAGATAATTAAGAAGGGAAATTGGATATTGTCCTTCATTGCTAGAAGGATAGAGGTTAAAAATAGGGAGGTTATGCTGCAGCTGTACAGGGTGCTGGTGAGGTCATACCTCGAGTCCTATGTACAGTTTTGGTCTCCTTACTTGAAAAAGGATGTACTGGCACTGGAAGGAGGGCAGAGGAGGTTCACTAGGTTGATTCTAGATTGAGAGGATTGACTTATGAAGAGAGATTCTGTAGATTGGGACTCTATTCATTGGAATTTAGAAGAATGAGGATGGATCTTATAGAAACATATAAAATTATGAAGGGAATAGATAAGATAGAAGCAGGGAGGTTGTTTCCACTGGCAGGTGAAACCAGAACAAGAGGGTATAGCCTCAAAATAAGGGGGAGCAGATTTAGGACTGAGTTGAGGAGTAACTTCTTCACCCAAAGGGTTGTGAATCTATGGTATTCCGTGTCCAGTGAAGCAGTTGAGGCTTCCTCATTGAATTTTCTTTTTAAGGCAAAGATAGATTTTTGAACAGTAAAGGAATTAAGAGTTATGGTGAGCGGGCAAGTAAGTGGAGCTGAGTCCACAACAAGATCAGCCACCATCTTATTGAATGATGAAGAAGTCTCAATGGTCAGGTGGCCTACTCCTACTCTAATGTTCTTATGTTTTTATGATGAATGAACTCTCTAGAGGGAAAATTACATCCTTCAACTGAGCAGTCCCTTAATATAATTATGGGCTTGGATTCTTCCTTTGGAGAAAAAGAGGTTATCTTCTTTACAGACAAAAGTTCTTCATATCTCTCATCCACTCTATGTTCTTCTTCTGCAATCGTGTTTATTTCTGCTCTCAGCTATATTTAATGCTGTAATCCTTATGAACTTCCTTTTTTAATTCATTCTTACAAGTTTCAATAAGTCCCATGGTCTCCCCTCAAAACCACCAGCGTTCTGAAAGAATGTGTCCCACTTTGTTACAATGGAACCATTTTGACTTCCACCCTCAGTACTTTCCCTACTGATCTGAGGAGGAGACCTTCAGACATTCCCAGCTATTCATTCCTAACCTTAACTACCTGCCTTCCTCTCATTCTCATATTTTCTATCCATTTCAAATTTGAGAGTGACAGTAAAAAACGTTCAACTTTATGGATCAGCTCATAATCATCAGTGATTGCTGCTACGTGTCCAGTAATTGCAAACCTTTGGGCCTCAACATGGTTTCTTATTACACACAATGGTTAAAGTCCTGCAGTGGAGACGTGTAACTCTCTCCATCTTTCTAGGCCACTGAGATTGGCTGTCAGAAATGAACAATTTTTACAGGATAAAGGAGAATATTCTTTTTCCACCAATTAGTATGTCAGTAACTTCAAGATGGTTAGGAATGAGATGAGGAGAAATGTCTTTACTCGAGAGTTGTTAGGATTTAGAATGAGCTGCCTGGGAGAGTGCTGGAAGCGGATTCCATTGAAGGTTTCAAAAGAGAGCTGGATATATATTTGAAATGGATAAAGTTAGAGGGCTGCAGAAGTAGGGCTGGAGAGTGGGACTAGCTGGGTAGCTTTTTCGGAAGTCAGTATAGACACAATGGATCAAATGGCCTGCTTCTGTACTGAAAATTCTATGATACTACAATATCTAACTGATGCTATTCAACTGAGTTCAGTCTTGGGCACTGCTCCTCCTGAGGACATATTGGTTTTTGAAGGACTGCAATGCAGCATTTCCTCAATGATACCAGGGCTAAAAGGGTTACTTAATGAGGACAGTATGCTTGGCTGGATTGTGGTTCCTTGAGGATAGGAGAGTAAGGGATAATGCAATTGAAATGCTTAATGTAATTAAAGGATTCAAATAATGACTTTTGGAGCAGAGTCAAATCCACAAGCTATTCTTTGATCCTACAAAACACATAAATAATTTACAATGCTCATCAATCTTTAAAATCCTTTCACCAGGTTCCCTGGCTCCATTGCAATCTGAGATAGCTACATTTTTGTTTAGCAAAGGCTATGACCAAAGGCAGGTGTAAGATAATTTTCAAGTTCTTTCACTGTAGACTCTGACATTGAAAAATAAACACAGACAACTTTTCAAGTGTAGTAAATCCAGACTTGTTTGAATTGTGTTTGTGTCAGGAATTTATTTCAACAGTTAACAATTTATTTTTCTACAGTTAAAAATTTAATTCCCGAAACTAAAACTTATTTTCTAAAACATATTATAAAACAGATGATCTGTAAGCTTTGTGGTAAACGGTAACATGTCTGTGCAATGAATCACAGTATAATAACAAGCATAGATATTGGAAAATAAGAAATTAAAATTAAGAACAGTCGTAGATATACGTATTGCTTAATGTGAGACATTAATTGAAGGTGTACTATAGGTCTGCTTGAGAAAGTAGTAAGGTTTCTGGAGTTGGGTCCAAGTGTGACAAAGAGAACACATTGTCCACTTACTATCTGTTAACAGGATTGCAGTTGTTTTGGAGAAGGTCTCTTTCATCGCGCCAAAAAGCATGCACCACCTTAAAATGGCAAAGGAGATTCTGAAATGAAAATTAAAAAGAAAAATCACTCCAATTATCATTAGGTTAACAGTGATTTAATTAAAATCAGCAGGACTAGTTGGTGCATCAACCTTCCACTTCTTACCCCAGAATGGAAATGAGTTTATTTTATCTAACCTGGCGGTGAGTCTGAGTTTCTCCCGCTGTACCAAAGCCAATTGGTCAGAATATTATAGCATTCACATCATTATGTAGTTGGCATGGATAGACAAGCAAGAGTAAGAAATCTGTGTTTTTAACAACATCAGGTTAAAAGGCAGGAAGGTGCTTCAGTTAAGAAGCACCCTGTTTTAATCAGGGTGAGCCCCAAACTGTATACCCTCTTATTCATGCCATCTCATTTGGCATCCAAAGCCCATTGGGTGCCCGTTTCTCCAGGCTCCCCAATCTCTTCCTGCTTTAACACCCAAGTCTCCCTGTACCTACTCTTGCAGTCCCAGCAGTGTTCACTACTCAGCTCCGGTGCAGCAGGGACTCGTTGAGAGTGGGCCTCCATTGAGAGACAGAACTCCAATTTCCTTCGTCACCCTCAGCACAGGGCATTATTGGCTTTGTTGTAAGTTAGCTGGTTTGAAACTTAGTTCTGTAATTCAGAGTAGGGTGGCGAGCAATATGTCTCCCTAGCCCCCCAAACCCTGTAAGATTGAGCACTTTGCAGGGAGCTGCGCCAGAGCAGGAATTGCCTGGCCTCTTCCTTTGTTTGTCATGAATTGATCCTGAGTACTTTGCCCTCCAAATCAAACTTCTACTCGATGTGATTTTGCTTCTTCTGAAGCTATTTGCACAGGGCAGTTAAGTGTTAATGCAGGTTGGTGGAGCAGACCAGAAGGATCATCCAGTCATGATATTTGGTATAAGGATGTGTGATCATTTTGTGGGTGTAGTGAAGGTACTGGTTTTTTTGCTTCATGTAACAGAGAGACCTGCCTTCTGCCTCTCTCTCTCTCTGTCCACAGATGCTGACAGACCTGCTGCATTTTTCCAGCACTGTCTGTTTTTATTCCAAATTTCCAGCATCCACAGTACTTTGCTTTTACCTTGCATTTATTTATATGCAGCTCTCTTTGCTGCCCCTTTCCCCACGTTTGCTTATGTATTTAGTGTGAGAAGATTGGAGCTTCAGGACATGGAGAAATTCTTTCCTGCTTCCATTCCTCATCTGGATCAGATGCTCAACCCACGTTGCCCCTAGTCACCAAGGAAGTGTAATGGTCCACCCTTTCCACATAAAGAGTTTCTCTTACCTCAGACATTCCTGCAGTATTGACAACAAAGCAAGATGTTAATGTTTTGTTTTCTCCTTTCTTGCACTGTGTCCTTCCCAGTTCAGCTTCCAGAGTGTACAACAGTCCACCGACATCCTAGCAAAATACGAGTATAAACAACATTGATTTTGTGAAAATCGCTTAACTAGTGTCTGTGAACCAGATCTATAACCCTCCAAATACTTCAATATTAAATTACGGCTATAGTTGTCAATCATGTGAGGAGTATATTGGCAGTTGCCAAAGCAGTAACTCCCAGCGACCGTAAGTGCTTTCATGCTCAATTCTGATCCTGTTCACATACATTGAAAATTGGCTTTAGGAACAGGAACACTCTGAACTGGCAAACTGCTTTTGAAAACTATCTAAATACAAAGTCAGCCTCTGCCTGGATCATGAGAACTCACCTGTGCCAGGAGATAGCTTTGCGGAGCCGAGGTGTTAACATACTGTCAGAAGGTAAACAGTGCACTCTGTCACCTTTATTTACAGAAGTCAATATCTGATGACTGCCTCAAATATCTCAGCCTCAAGTGGACACATGCAAACAGGTAACCTCCGCATTGTCTGAGCTTGCAAGGGAGTGACACCAGGTGAATGTGGCTAAGAGTGAGGGCCACCACATCAGATTTTTCACTTAATTTCGAGGGTGACTGTGCAGTTTGTGACTTTATCGATAACATTTGAGTTGTTTGTCGGTGTGTGAGCTTCCATTCGTCAACTGGAAGAAGGAGAAAATGTGGTGAAGGGAAGCTGTGACCTTTGACTGGGGTAGCTGAGACTGCTGGAGAGATGGGTTCCGTACACTGCGGCTAAGAATGGAACAATTCAGGTTCTAATATTTCACAGACGTGTTCCCACAATCAGGGCAAAGTGAGGCCCAGAATGTATATGGGCGATGAATGGTGCTCAGGTGAAAGGTGCCCAGATCAGATGTGGCATGCACACCATTGTAATAAGAACCTGGGATGTAGAACTGATCCTAGTCTCCTCACTGTTCTGCTTGGACATTTCTTTCCTCTGCATTTCTTTTGTCCTCTTCCAATGTATTTACAGAATCCCTACACTGCAGAAAGAGGCCATTCGGCGTATCAAGTCTGCACCGCCCCTCCGAAGCACACCCCACCCAAACCCACCCCAACCCACCCCCTATCTTATCCCTGCAACCCTGCATTTCCCATGGCCAATCCACCTAACCTGCACATCTTTAGACTGTGGGAGGAAACCAGAGCACTCAGTAGAAACTCACACAGACACAGGGTGAATGTGTAAACTCCACACAGTCACCCAAGGCTTGAATCAAACCCAGGTCCCTGGCGCTGTGAGGCAGCAATGCTAACCAATGTAGCCACCCTAAATTTAAATTTCACCATCTGCCATGGTGGGATTTGAACTATGTCCCCAGAGGATTACTAACCCAGTAATATTACCATGACCCTATTGCCTTCCACTATTGCATCGACCTCCCCTCTTCAAGACCCACTCCTCTCTGGGAGGTTATGTGATGGAGAGTGCAGGAGCCCACCACAATGCATGAGAACCCTGCACAATGATGTTACAAATCTGTAAGTAACCAGTTAGGACACTGGAACCACATTTTCAAAAGGTGGAAGACCTGTACATTGCGGGCAGGTGATATAAATTGTGTTGACACTGCACTTCTTTCTTCAAGGAATATCTCATATCTCCCACTGTCCAAGCCCTTGCTGGGACCTGCCTCATGATCCCCCTTTCTCACCTATACTTCATCATCACTGCTGTGGGATCTGCAGCAGACTCAGTGGCCTTAGCCACTCGAATTGCCCACCTTTTCAATATCCGCGAGATTTAAGCTCAATGCCCTGGAGGATTTCTGTCAGTGTGTGTTGTCATTTGCCCGTACCACTGAGATTAGAACCACCTTGCATCATAAAGTCCACCTTCACTCTCAAGGACATCATTACATCATAGGCCATGGTGCGTCATGGCAACCAGACGTTTTAAACTCTATGGGTGAACCACCATTTTCCTGATCAACTATTTATATTTACCACATTTTAGGAAATAAAATGTTCCAAGGTGCCTCAGATTGATCAAAAAAAAATACGACACTAAACCACGAGGAGAGATTAGGCCAGCTGATCAAAATCTTCGACAAAGGCAAAGATTTTAAACAACATTTTCAAAACCAAAACCAAAGTGTGGAGAGATACAGAACTTCAGGACACAAGTTTCAGAGGCTTAAGGCTAGGCAGCTGGAGCAGAGAATTAAAATCAGGAACTCGGAAATGGCACAGATATCTTGGAGGGCTATGGAGTTGTGGAGACGATTATATAGAGTTAGGGAGGGGCAAGGTATCAAAGGGATTTGAGAAAAGGGATGGGGACACATATGAAATATGTGGAAGAAAACACTGCAAACATTTTGAACTCCTTCCTTACAAGATTCTCTTTGTACAACAGGAGCCGATGCAAGTTGTCTGAGACTGTGCAGTGGGGGAGGGGGATCAATATAAAGTTCATCATCCACATGCAGATGGGGTGACACCATGGCGACACCATGGTAATGTGATGGAATCAGGGTGGTGTCCATATGACCTTTTTGAGAAGTGATAAAGCCAGTGGGATTACCTTCATCATCTTCACTGGCCCCATTGCAAACTGCTTTCAGCTAACTGTTAAAATAATCACAATCCCTGTTTAATTACCTGCACTTGCGCTGACACAACCCAAGTGACTTTGAAGAGATGATCATCTTTCGAGAATGCATTGAACGATTCCACAGCAAAATCTAAGGCTCTCTGGACATCCTTGTCATTCGGATTAATGGGTTCAGGTCCTAATTGTTCTTTCGAGGCAGAGACTAAAATGAGAAAAATGTTGAAAAGGACGCAGTGACTCTGCCAGCTGAAACCCATGTTTCACGTATCAAAATGGAATGACTCAACAGAAACCAGCAACAGCAACAGACCTTTATTTGATTATTTGCTCATTGGGTGGAGTGCATCAGACTACTTTGCATTAGGTTATGGCACAAATGTTGCTGCTTGTATGTGATTAAATGACTTATTCTATATGTTGCAAGGGGCTGATAGTTTGCCATGAAGAATAGTTAAAGTGCAGGTGAGCTGGAGCAACCATCCCCTTACACATTATCAGTTTCAGCAATCTATTTAATATTTAGCGAATGAATTGTTTCCCGAATGGGACAAATGTTTCATTGTTAAAGGAAAAGTCTAAGCAAGGAGAATGTTAAAAGCACAGATATGTGTTTCATAGCTGCCTCAAAGGTACTTACAGCAAGAGGTAGAGGTCTCGTAACTATAGCATGCCAAGAAATGCCTTTGATTTGTTTTTTGAATAGAGTCAAACTCCAATGTTTGTTTGTTTCTTCATATGCTATTGCGCAGAACCAAACTGCTGCAGTGAGTACATATATTTATAAAGATATTCTTATGAATAAAAAATATTTTTGAAATAAAAAAAAACTACAGCAAGCTAGCCAGTACACTAAACACAATTGCATTTCCCCAAACAGAGATTCTCTAAGAGTGGCTGTTTCTATAAATAGGCTGTGATGTTGCAAAATGATTGAATTGACTGAATATCATTGTATATGTTTTATTGGTTGCATTTTATTTGTCCAGTCATTTTCCCTGCATACAGGAGGCTTAAGGCATTACAAACACATCCATAAATATGTGATGTTTTTTGACCAATCTGCTACATCAGCAAAGGGTTGATTTACCACCCAGGGAGGGACAATGCTGACTGAGTGCCTGAAGGCGTAGTGTACTGGAGGACATAGTGTTTGAGTGTGAGGAGATCAGAGAACACAAGCATCCTGGGCTCAAGGCCTTGTACTGAGAGGTGTAGCAGCTAACATCACAAGTGGAGAACAGCTCAGGCCCCAGCTTGCTTAGGCAGGCCAATAGGAGCAGAGAGCAGAGCTCTAGGGACAGCGTTCACCACTCCACACTCTTTTGTAAAGCTAACGCTTTTTTTTAATTTCAGTAATATACTTTATTCATTAAAAAATCTTTGTGTATATACATTGTCACAGATGCAGTTTGGTTCTACACAGTATCATATCAATTAAGCAAATAAACTTTTGAGTTTGACTCTATCCCAACAAACCAAAGACATTTTTACACGTACAAGATTATATTTACATACATTGAGACACTAGGAGGGTCTGGTAACTGATCAGACTCCTATCTACCTTCAGCAGGAAGACCTCAGTCAGTAGTCTATCCCCACTGCACCTTGGCAGCTGCCCCAAGCTTGAGCGCATCTGTCAGCACATGGCCCCAGTCCTTGGTATGTGCCAGTCTGCAACACTCAGTCAGGGTTAAGACCTTATTCTGGAAGACCAACAAATTTTGGGCAGACCAAAGAGCATCTCCCACCAAGTTGATGGTCCTCTAGGTGCAGTCGATGTTTGCCTAGATGTGAATTCCAGGGAACAGCGCACAGAGTACAGAATCCTGTATCACAGAGCTGCTCAGGACGAACCTTAATAAAAACCACTGCATCTTTCTCCAGACTTCCTTTGCAAAGGCACATTCCTAATGCGGGGCTACGGCAGGTATAGGCCGCACGTGAAATCCTGTCATGCAAGGTATGCAGGCCTGAGGAGCAAAGGTAATTTCTCCTGCTTCCGACAGGGTAACCCCAAGCACAACAAAAACGAAAAGGGAACTTATTCATGACAGATCACTAACAGGGGCAGGACCTGAATCAAATATTACTGAGTGTATTTATTGTGGTGCATGCATTCAAACCCCAGACTGCACATCCTTGAATGTCTGTGCACAACAGAAAAAAAATACTCTGGGCTGAATTTTCCAAAGATTTAACAGCATTCATTTTGGGGATTTTCACTTAGTGTTTCCCCCCGTGAGCCCAGGGGATTTTTTATGTTTTTCACCTCATTAAGTGTGCATCACGCCTCTATGGTACCACTCTCATGCCATCCTGGACTCAGCAGTGGTGAGATGTTCATGGGTGCTGGCACCTTTCTGCATTCACACAATGGATGGCACATTCAAATCTTAGCCGGACACTTTGTCAAATTCTGGCAGCCTGGTGTGAAGTAGGCACCCAGGTTCAGTGCTGTGTCCACAGTCCAGAGGAACGCACAGAGGCGCTGCAAAAGAAGGGTATTGATCTACGCACTGCAAGGGTAAGTGCCACACTCTGATAGCACACACACACTCGAACTCTGCCACTGCACCCACCTCGCATTCAAGGGTCATGGTCTACCGCTCTCAATATTACATGCAGCACGGTGGCTCAGCGGTTAACACTGCTGCCTCACAGCGCCATTGATCCAGGTTCGATTCCACCCTCGGTGTCTGCATGCAGTTTGCTTGTTCTCCCTGTGTCTGCACTGGTTTCCACCGGGTGGCCTGGTTTACTCCTACAGTCCAAAGACGTGCAGGTTAGGTGGATTGCCCATGCTAAATTGCCCATAGTGTTCAGGGGTGTGCAGGCTTACGCGGGTTAACCATGGGAAATACAGCGTTACAGGGATAAGATAAGGGAGTGTGTCTGGGTGGGATGCTCTTCGGAGGCTCAATGTGGACCTGATGGGCCAAATGGCCGCTTCCACACTGTAGGGATTCTATGATGATGATGACTGCTCATTGCCAGCCAACATGATTGGTGCTGTGCTATCTGCCTGTGCGGAGAAAGCAAGGCAAGGAGAAATACTTTGAGCATTGAAGCAAGCGCAAAGTGAATGAGTTGTAAGAAAGGATGTTAAGAGGCCAGAGATGAGATGGACCTGGCAGTGGTATTGCAATGACAGGTGCCAGTGAGCATTGAAATACTGGAGTCTCAAACGTGCCATGATGATATGGTGAGGCTGGTGCTTTGCTGATACCAACCTCAATCAATGGAGGTGTTGTAGGTGGGTCGCTGCCCGTGGATTATTCCCTGAGATGTCGGGGAATGCTGGCCAAGACGGAGGCCGGAGAAAACATCGGAGAGCTGCACCTGCGAGGTACCCACTTGGAATTTCAACTCCACCTAATTTCCCTCACTACCCGAGAAAATAGCAAGCTGTGGATAAATGAGGCTAGATTCGGTAATACTGAGATGTTAATGCATGAAACTAAGCCCCCGCACCACTCACTAGCAAGATTCCCACCTAGCCATAAAAACTTTGGCTGGAAAATTGGATGTTTTTTTTTCCTCTACGTCAAGAATCTAAGCTTTCTGATCTTGCCATAGCTTCCTGACTACGTCACCATCGCCGGTGCTCTGATTTCGCAGCATCTTTCCTAAACTCACACTGTTCAAAGCACTTTGCAGCAAATGAAAAAGTGTAGCGTCCCAGGAGTTGGCTGAAATCTCAGCATCCAGATAATGAAATAGTGCTGAATTAAACGAGCAGTTAATTCGTTTTAGGCGCTGTTTGAGGGATAAGCATTGGCCAGGAGACTGAGGAGAATTATCCTCCTATAACGCGATGGTGCCTTTTACGTCTGCCTGAGAGAGAGAGAGGAACAGTAAACATCTGGATTTAAGGAATAAATTCCTCCGACAATGCCACTCTCCCTCAGTTTTACATGGAGTCTTATTTCCTGGTCCCTATTCATCATGTCATGAATATTATAGATCGCACACCGGACAGGATCAGACACGAGGGGATCACATCACACATGAGAGAATCGCGTAGTTGAATCACATGTAAGAGGCATGAGATGATCACGTGTGAAAAGATCTGACGTGACAGGTTCACATGTAAGAGGATCAGATGTGAAGATGAACATTTGTCCGTAACAAAGGGACTGACTTTCAAAGCTATCCAACCTGGGAGCATGCACAGTTATAAGTGTGTGGGTCATTCATTTATTGTTTAGCTCAGTTGCCTAGTCAGCAGAAGTATGGTACAGAATGATGCCAAGTGGTGTGGGTGCAATCTCAGTACAGGACGTGGCAGCTCATGGGGGTGGGTGCAATCTCAGTACAGGACGTGGCAGCTCATGGGGGCATGTCTCTCTGCCTTATCCCATGTTTGCAGAGCTATGCTCCTAATGCTGTAGATAAAACTGTCTCTCTTGTCTTACTGTCAGAGGTTATCTGAAGGAAGACAAAGCACCAGTTATAGTAACAACGGATGTGAGTCACGGTTAAACAAATCAGAGTCCACTTGGAACAGAAAAGTAGGCAAATATCCAACAAACCCTGCTCTTAAAGCTGGCCAAATAGGATGGATGAAGAGGCCTGGCAAGACAAGGCCAAAAACATTCCTCACTTTCCAACAGAAGCAGGATTGCTTCCTTTAGTCCTCTTCCCCAAGCTGCCTTCTTTCTCTCTCGATAGAGCCTTCCAAATCCCATACCCCACTGGCCCACTGGAGGCTTGTTTAATTGACAGATTGGATCTTTGAACTTCTGTCAATTCCAGAAAGTAAACCTGTAATATTTCATTAAGGCCCGGAAGTTAAAGTATAGGCATGAAAGCCAGTTGGGTGAGTGTGTTTTACACTTTCCCCGTTCTCTTGTCTGTCTGAAATCACGGTAAAATTAACCTTAAGGACATGTATCCATCAAGCATTCCAATTGACCAAAACTGAATGAATCCTTAAGCTGTTAGTAGGTCATCATCATTGGCAATCACTGGCAAATGAATATGATTGTCCACCTGGGAGATTCCATGTCATGAGTTCCATGGGTCCTTGTGAGCTGATACCCCAGTCCTAGCGCCGCATCTCCGACCATACATTTGGCAAGTGTTTTCAGGAAGTGGAAGTGGTCCTTGACTTTGAGGTCTTCCTTTCTCCGATTCCTTTCTCATACTTCCTCTTGCCAATGGGTGTTCTCACATAATTGTATTCCTTCCCACATGTCCTCTGAGCTGGTTCCTTCTGATAGCAGCATCTATCAACACATGTGTTGATGTCTATGTTGCATTTCTTGAGGAAAGACTTC